AAAAAAAAAAAAAAGAATGTCAAAGGGCGAAAAGTCATCAGGCTCATGCATGTGTCTTTATCTCTTAAAATATACTCTCAAGATCTTTCCATATCAGAGCACAGAGGGTGTCCTCATTTCTTTTTTTATATCTGTGTAGCATTCCATGGTGTGACCCTGAAGAGGGCGTCATCTGAGTGTGGGTGTAGCAGTGTTCTCAGGCCCCAGCGTCTCCTCCGTGGGGGTTGTACAGTTCTCTACTCACCTCAGCGGTACCTGAAGAGGCAGTGTGACAGTAATCGCCGTCGCATTAGGACTGGATTTAAGCTGTGTTTTCTCATAAAATTCAGGCAGCTTGCGATGAACCAGGGTTATGAGAAACATCACTAAAATTTATTTTCTTTACAGTGCTTTCATATTTTTGTTCATCAAAAGTGAAATACCAAATAACACGTGTTCTGTGGACACCACGCCATTAATGACGGATCATGTGAGTACAGTATGAGAAACAATATGAGTTGAAACATAAAATTAAGATAAAAGGAAAATGCATAGATTTGAAACACAGATGAGAAGGTAGTTCTTTTTTTTTTCTTTTTTCATTCAGGGCCATCGACAATATGTTTGCATATATATTATAGTTAGGTCTACATAGCAGCCAGTCAAGACTGCCACGGGAAAGCTTCTCAGCAAACGCAAAGGTCTATTTATATCTATTAATGGTAGATCCCAACTAGAAGATGTATATACAAGCCCATATTTTGGAATGGCTTAAGGATTTCTGCAATGGGAGGATCCTAAGTACTGAAGAGGAATATGAAAGTTACTTTAGGAAGAGGGAGGAGGCAGGACTTAAAGTAGGCCCGGGGAGAGCAGTGGGGAATAGCTCAGAGGCAGCCAATGAAAGGAAAAATCAAATCATATGAAAGGAGGAGTGGGACTTCGATTTTTTTCCTTTTTCTCTTTTGCCACATCCTGTTCCACTCAAAGGTAAAGACAAGAAATATGTAGGAAGTTGCTGTTTGACCTTGAAGAATCTTAATTAGTCTGGCGTAGCAAATCTAGATTCAACAGGGATAACCTATAAGAGATCTGACAAAGCACAAGGCCCAGTGCTACATATACAAAAGTGATTTCAGAGCAAACTCCCATGGCCAGGAACCCAGACTCCAGTCCTTACTGTTTCAAGTCTCTCTTCTACCTGCTGTGGGTCCAGTGCCATCCAGCTGCCCTGGGCAACCAGAGTCCTACACCCCGACAGACAGACGCATTGCCTCCCTGGAAGGTGCTGCCTCTACTCCTTACTTCAAAACTAACCTTTTCTTCTCCCTTTCTTCTTCCCCTCTCAAAACCCTCGTCAAATAAAGTGACTGAAACCTTAGTTAAATTGACACTAAAGTTAACTAATAATTAGCTTAAGGATAAGAGAAAAGAGATTTATTAACCCATAGACATCTCTAATCCAGAAAATGTTGCAGAGAGAGATGGAGGAATTGGGACAGAGTGAACATGTCCAATATTCCTTGCCTCCCCCAGGGATTCAGATACCTCCTGACCAACCACCCCTCATACCAAGGGAGGAAAAAGAAAAATGCAACTTGGAAAAAGATACATAATAGGTTAACCGCCTTGGATCTTTCTAGGCACGTTGGAAGGATATAAGCAAACCAAGTTTAAAGATACATAAACAGCATGACTGGGTATTATGCAACCATACATTATGAGCTCCTCATCATTGAAAGAAAGCATTATTGCTAAACTTGACTTAACACATGACAAAGAATTCAAATCTAGTTTCTTATCTCTTACAAAGGCATTAGGAGTATCACATTAAAGAAATTTCAGCTAAAAGGCAAAGATGATTACATTCAATATTAGAAATATAAATTGGCTTGTAGTTTTTCCTGACTTAGAATATCAACCTAAAAAAAGAATATTAACCTAATCATGAACCATGGCTGGAAATGTTTTATTAACTAATTCAGTTAAAGAAAACTGAATTTAAAAAGTACCTATCAATCTTAAGTATTCCATAGAAGAGTCTGAGTTTTCCTTGGTTCTAATTTTTTTTACAGATTATTAAAATATGCAGATGAGGGGCACCTGGGTGGCTCAGTCGTTGAGCGTCTGCCTTCGGCTCAGGTCACGATCTCGGGGTCCTGGGATCAAGCTCCACATCGGGCTCTCTGCTCCGCAGGAAGCCTGCTTCTCCCTCTCCCACTCCCCCTGCTTGTGTTCCCTCTCTCGCTGTGTCTCTCTCTGTCAAATAAATAAATAAAATCTTAAAAAAAAATGCAGATGAAACACAAGCATTGTTAACTTCTGTTACTTTTGATAGGTGTATCAAAATAGCCATATATTAAACTGGAAAAATTTAAACAGAGAAGTTGCCAACTGCCAAACTTTTCTGAATGGAAGAGGAACAGAATCCGAAACATTTGAGTCTGGAGATATGCACAGAATCAGAGTGCATAGTGTCACGTGCTCATATTTTAAACTATGTTTGAGAAAGAATAGAAAAACGTGGAAAATCTTCTTGTCACCATGGTCATTATCAACTGAATGCTGTTTTTGTCTTGGTTTGTGCCAATATTTTCAATAGGTGATCAACAACGCTCAAGATTCCTGCCCTGATTATTCCTGGGTGGATAAACTTTCCACAGTACAACAGCGCACAGTGTAAGAGGTTCTGTTATTCTCTTTCATGTTTGGTTAAAGCAAGGATTACTGGAGTGAAGTGATACTCATCTAAGTGCAAGAAGCAAATGGTAACATCAGCTTTATCTCTCACAGTTCCATGGTGGACAGACTTTCTTGTGCCCTGATGGATTTTTAGGTACAGAGGTCCATGATCTCAGTGTTTCCAGAAATTTCTAAACCACTCCGGTATCTCTAGCCAATAAGTAGCTGACAAAAGCATCATTTTGCAACACTTTTGATCCTAAAGTAAAAGAGGTAATACAGGCCACAGCATATAATGACCTCCGCTGAAAGTCCGTACATTCATGTGTTAGACAATTTTATAATCTCAAGATATTCATTTTCAAATATAGTAGAATATTTTGGGTCCATGTAGTTATACCCCTCACTGTCATAGAGACTGAGAGAGTTTGGCTCACCAGCAGTCCTTATAGTTTCAAGTTTCTTGTGGGATGTTTTTGGATTAGTAGAGAAATATGATAATATGTAAGTGGATAGCTTGCATTTTACAATTGATGACTGTTTTGGACTTTTATGTTGTGACACACATAAGCACTTCAAGAATATAAAGCATTTCCTCTGTTAGTATACACACTAACCTCACAGTGGGAAAGAGGCTGTGCCTGGTGCATAATAAATGTTCAATAAATATTTGAGTCAATTGAGTGAATGAAAGATTGAGCTCACAAACAAGCTTTGGAAGATAAATATGTTGCTGTTTTTGCTTCAGAGTAAAACAGATCTCTCAAAAAAATTTTTTTTTTCACAAAGCTTCTCCCTTCTAAGGGAATATTTGTTAAGAAAAACATTTTTGATTGTCTCATGATTAGCCAGACCTGGTCTATTAGTCGGTCTGTGTCTGGGACACCCCTTTCAGGACGATGGAGTCCGTTCTTCCCCATAACACAGGGATTTCCATTGTGGATAGAGCTGACTGCCAGATTGGCCTTGTGAGTTCCTATTAAAATAGGCTTTAAGAATTTATTTTTAAGCTTGGAAAGAAATTTTTTTTTATGTTAAAGATTTTATTTATTTATTTGTCAGAGAGAGAAAGAAAGCACAAGCAGGGGGAGTGGCAGGCAGAGGAAGAGGCAGACTCCCCACTGAGCAGGGAGCCTGATGCAAGACTCGATCCCAAGACCCTGGGATCATGACCTGAGCTGAAGGCAGACACTTAACTGACTGAGCCACCCAGGCGTCCCTGTTTGGGGTTTTTTGTTTGTTTGTTTTTGCCTAAAACTCTTTCCTGTTTCATGCCATTGCCCTTTGTATTAAGTTAAAGGGGCTGTTCCAAAATATTAATCATCTGTCCCCAAAATTATTGGGAACACTTGCCTCATGCAAAGTCTGAGTAGTCAACATGACTCCAGTGCTTAAGACGAAATATTTTCTTTTTACAACAGGAAGTGTTTTACCTGAAATATCCAAATTAATTAAGTCAGCACTTCTTGACCACACCCTAGTCAATGAAGGCATAGGCAAGCCCAGGGATATCTATAGCTGTTTTGAACAAGCATGCATTTAGTACTTTGTCTATCCTAGCCCTGTGCTGGATATTACTGAGTGTTTAAAAAAGGAGCATAGGACATGGTGTCCCTCCACAAATAGTTCGTATTTAGGGAGCCAAGTCTATTATGCCGACGGTATAATGATAGCAATAGTCACATCTGTGTAATAACAATTCATAATGATAATCCATTATAATTTCTGTAAGTCGTATACTTCCAAAACTAGGCAGTGGGGGGCAAAAGTTGGACTTTTAGTTCTGATGCCACTCTGACCCTGCAGGGCATTTCTTTGACTTTTGACAGTCACAGAGCTTGAGATAGATGTGTGATTTCTTCATAAGTGCCTGTGATTTACACTTTGAAGCATGCTTTAGCTCTGATTCCATTTGTGTGTTTGTCAGAAATATTGCTGTGGGCCAAGATTAACAGTGATATATTTGTTTTTTAAGGGGCTGCAGTCTTGCAGTGATATCTGGAATACTCTATGGGTCTACATTTGTGCCCATCATTTATATCAAGGACCACAGCAAAAGAAATGACAGTATATATGCAGGGGCAAGCCAGTATGGTAAGAGTAAAACATTATTTTACCTTATAAATAAATTCAATACCTGTTTTTCTACTTAAGAATATAAAAAAAAGGAATGTGATCACAGTAAATCCTGGTACATAGATTTGATCTTATTTTTCATTTTAAGTGGTGAATTAGAAAACCACTGAAGACTAAAAGTAATAAAGGACCGTTTGAGTCTTTTCATATGATCGTCAAAATACAAATATAATCAACTTTATTCTAGTCAGTGTTTATGTAGGCTACTTAGATCTGAACACATAGTTCCTGGCTTTACAGTAAGATTTGGAGATTATTTTCCAGTTAGATAATCTCTGAGAAAATATGTATTCTTCTGCTCTTTTAAAAAAAGCTAAAGTGCAGTACATATCACTTTCAAATCAAGTAAAGGTCAAAGTATAACCTTCCTAAAGGTCAAAGTATAGCCTAGTCAGAGGATATTGTTTTTAAAGCAGAGAGTACTGCATTGAAAAGCCCAACATAATGCTCCCAGATTATCTCAGTTTCTAGTGATAGATTGAGTCTATCTGGTATAAACTCAACACTCCATGCAATCACCCTTGTACAGGCTCATCAGGAGATGAAACAGGGTCTACTTCAGGGGTCCTATCATTTTGTTGAAGCATGGCTTCCACCCATGAACTCATAAAAGAATGAGATCATAGGTAATAAAGTTCTAAATTGGATGGTACAGAAAATTAATGTGACCTACGTTCCGATAAGGGAGAAATTTGGAAGGCAGAAGTCGTGAGGGAGAGATTGATGACAAAACTGGGATTTGAAAGACTTAGAGTGGATAGACTGCATAGACATCATTGTTTCTTCCTTCCTTTTTATATTCAGTCCAATTAGCATTCAAACCTTTTACTAACTTCTGTCTTTTTTTAAAGATTTTCTACAAATACTTTTTGTGTTTTTATTATTTTCCTCTGTAAAGGATAAGAACCAATAAAAATAGAATAACATAGGATAAATTAAAAGACAAGGAAAAACAAGAGTGAAAAAATAAAATGGAACCAAGAATGAGTCTAAAAATTAAAACATATTTGTATACTTGCTAGAAATGAGCCATAAATTTGGCTCTAAGATTTCTTATAGACACAAGGGAAATCAAATCAGTCCCACAATTCAGTGAACACAAGATAAAAAGAATGATCATCCAGGAGTACAGTTGTTCTTGGTCCTGGGCTATAATAAATAATGTCAACAATCTCTTTACATAAATAGTACAATCAATTCTTAGGGACCTTTCTTATGACAACTTTAATGCCATCTAATAGGAACACACTTTATTCCACTTTATTAAAAAATAATTCTAGGGAGGTGCAATTTTTTATTTCATTTATTTAACAAACACATAAGTATTACATGCACTGTGCTAGATACTATTCTAAGCACATTTCAATAATAACTCAGTTGACCTTCATAGCAACCTTATTAGTTAGGTACCATTATTATCCTTGTTTTACAGTTGAAAAAATTAAGACTGTGAGAGATCAGGTAATTTGCCCAAGTCTCAAAGTTAGCAAGTAGTGGATTGCAGATCCCATCCAGGTGGTCTGTCTTTTTTTTTTTTTTTTTTAAAGATTTTATTTATTTATTTGAAAGAGAGAGAGAATGAGGGAGAGCACATGAAGGGGGGGAGGGTCAGAGGGAGAAGCAGACTCCCCGCCGAGCAGGGAGGCCGATGCGGGACTCGATCCCGGGACTCCAGGATCATGACCTGAGCCGAAGGCAGTCGCTTAACCAACTGAGCCACCCAGGTGCCCCCAGGTGGTCTGTCTTTTATTAACTATGCTATGCTGCCCCTTGTGGTAGTTCATGCATGTGTTGTTCTTATATGATCCAGAAGTAGGGTTTAAGATTTTTAGAAGAATAGACACACTCATTGACCTTCAAACTTTTCTCCTTAAACATGACCACACTCACCTTTGTCAAAATTTTAGTTGAGAGAAACACTGAGTCCAATGTGACCTTCCCAGCCAAGAACCTGTGGGATACCCCTCTGTATGACTAAAGGACAACCTGTTTAAACAGTTGGTGCGGGTGGGGTTTCTCAGATATTGGACCATCATCATGTGTCGTTAACTCCCCCCATGTAATGAGGCCTGTGGTAAACAACTAAAGAAAGCCCTCTTTGAGATAACTTCCTGAATATCCTTCCATGTAGCCGTCATCTGCAACAGAGATGCTGGTCTCCACATCGGTCACCATATAAAATCAGCACTCCCCCATATTTTTCACATCATCCCCACTACAGTCTACTTGGAGATTTGCTACAATTGCCATTAGTAAAATTAAGTCTGAAGCCTATTCTTAAAAACAAGATCGTATTCACATAATATTTATAGTTTCTTATTTATCTTTCCAAGATAATCAGAAAAACCAGCCTTTTAGATCTGATTATACTAACTAATATACTACTTAATATTTCTAAGTTTTAAATATGTTAATTAAAAGTCTATATAAACAGCATGTAGAAAACTAGGATGATAAAATATAATTAATGGTTCCTTTACTTTTAAGGTTAATTTTGGTGAGTTTTATTTTTAGAACCTAAATATATTTGAAATGAATAAAAGGATACATTTGAGAGTTTTATGATCTGTATTTTCAGATTTAGACTACGTTTTTGCACACTTCAGTGGCATCTTTTTTACAAGCACAGTCTATTTTCTGGCCTACTGTATAACCATGAAAAATAACCTTAAGTTATATCCTGAAGCAGTCTTGCCAGGTGAGAACATTTACTGCAGAAAGTCTTCTTACTCTGTGAAAGTATTCTCTACTCACTTAGCTTGAATAATCATCTTCTGGAAACCAAGCCATCCTATGTGTCTGTGTCTGTGTACATATTCATTCCCTATTGCTTTGGCCCAACTCACCACTAAATATGAAAGATTTAAAATCTATGAAATGCCAGTCGTTACAGAACCTGAAACTTGAACAGTGACTCTAAGATGACTTCCTGCGCCAAAATACATTGTGTATTGATCATCAAACTTTATTATTTCTTCTTCATTTATCTAAGGATGCTTATTACAAGTCAGAGTCAATAGAACTTTGTAGTTACTTAGGTAAACAAACATTTTCTCTGGAGAATAAGGAGAAATTGTTTTAGAGTTTGAAAAGGGTTTTTGATAAATGCACATGCTTTGGACTTAATCCATTCAGCACTGGTGGTGAAAAATACATATAATATCTCACTTATTTAGGAGTTTGCCATAAAGCAACTTGCAATATAAGTCCACAAGTAAAAAATTTTTAAGAACAAAATAAAGCATATATCAGATTCATTTTGAATACCTGATTCATTTAGGTCAAAGTATGCCCTTATACCATTATAAAAAATGATAGGGTATTTATTGAACACCTAGCTAAAGTATCCTGAAAATTTTATCTGGTATTTTCGTTCAAATTCTAGGAGCTTTTTTTTTCCCCCTTAGCTATAAGCACTCTTCTGAATTTCACAAATTTTTATGTTGAAAGTTTAAAGTAAATGGTGTTCACAGAGCATGCCCAGATCCAGTATCTTCCCTAGGTCCCTCTCCACTACCCAATCTTTACCTCAACTACAACTTTGGGTATTTTATTTAATGTCAGTAAAATGAAAAGGTTGATAATTATACCCACAGGAGTCAAGAACAAAAAAAAATGACTTGGTTTCCAAAATGATCATAAAACGATGTTGGCCAAATATGTCGATGGGAATGCATTGATATGAGCACTTTAATATTATCACTTTATTTGGAGTGTGGATTTTTCAGGAGAGGAACGTGGCTTGTAAGTGTGCACTGTTTGCGTGTATTTCAGGATTCCTGTCAGGAGTACTTTGGGCAATAGCCACCTGCTGTTGGTTCATAGCTAATCATGCTCTCAGTGCTGTGGTCAGTTTTCCAATAATCACTGCTGTAAGTAGCTGAATGTTTGTCCAAATTTTTGTTTTTCAAATGTAAATCTGATTTTTCTGAAGCATTCTTAGTGAATCACTGGGGACTGTCATGGAGTGCAATTTTTTAGGAGTACAATTTGTGTAACAGATTCATGTAGCTTCACCAACACCCTCTCACCTCATGTCCCCGATTGCTAAGGGAACATCGCTAGCCTCATTTTAGCAGGTCTGTTCATCTTTGATATTCTTGCAGTTTTTGTCTGGTCATTTTACCTAATGTCATTTTGGATACCTTTTAATTTGCTGTTTATGACATACTTATCTCTGTAGAACATTTACAAATTAAAAATGCTTTTGAGTATATTCTCACAACCTTGTGAGACAGAAAGTACTTCAGACTCCCCATATGGTATTTTGGTATTTTTAAAGGCTTTCAGGAAGTCCTAAAGCAAACTATTATCTCTGGATGAGTTATGTGATTAAACCTTAAGTTTTGCTTTGTGCTTACAAAAGGGAATAATACAATGGGGTAGCTAATTCTTTGTAACTGGTAACATATTATTTCCTCAGAAGAGACCAGTTATTTTCTAGTACTAAATTCTTAATAGAATGTATCATATGGGGCCTTTTAGAGGGGACACTGAATAACAATAAATAAGATTCCTCAAAAAAATTTATAGTAGACAGAGATTTGTTTTTTCTGTCACTGTTTCTTGTATTAAATTATGGTAAAGACTTAGGATAAAACATTAAATCTTAATTCCGTGGAAATAAATTGCTGAGGTGGGTGAGGTATGGACAGACAGTCGATGGGACTAATCACTGTGGCTCTTGGAAACTTGCCTGTCAGAAGGATTATTCTTTTTTTTTTTTAAAGATTTTATTTATTTATTTGAGAGAGAGAGAAAGCACATGAGAGCGGGGAGGGTCAGAGGCAGAAGCAGACTCCCTGCCAAGCAGGGAGCCCGATGTGGGACTCGATCCCGGGACTCCAGGATCATGACCTGAGGCGAAGGCAGTCGCTTAACCAACTGAGCCACCCAGGCGCCCCAGAAGGATTATTCTTGAACCACTGTGATATAAGCAAAGTCTTCTCACCCACCAGGTATAGCTTCCTCTGGTGCTTGGGGGATTTTTACCTGGGAAAAACAGGTGTTTCTGGAACTTGAGGGAATTGGGCAAAATTGCTACTAGATTCTTGCTTGGTGTCACTTTTGTTACTCTAGTCAAAAACAACCTTTTCCACATACAGAAAAGATTCAGTCTTTTCCTCAAGGATCTTACATTCATCTTTATTTCTTGGAAGAACTGGATTTTTTTAACATTAACTTTTTTCATGGAAAACGTCAAACATACCCATCACCCAGCTTCAACAATTATAAATATGATCACTTTTATTTTATCAAAAGAGCAGTTCTATAAAAAAAAAATTCTAGTAGCGCTATTCTTCCCAGGTACATATATTTCCACTGTTATATACCCACTGGTTACTAGACTGTGAGTTCCTTGAAAGCAGCATCTATAGTTTATTATCAAATAACATTTAATTAAAAAGGAAAGAGAAAGAAAGAGAGAGGAAGGAAAGAAGGAAGGGAGGGAGGGAAAAGAGAAGGGGAAAGAAAGGGAGGGGAGATGGGAGAGGCTGGGAGAGGAGGAAAGAGAGCGAGGAGGAGGGAAGAAAAGAAAACAGAAGAAAAAACCCCTGTAGCAGGAGCAAGGGCTTGTTACCTCTGCTCCATGTCTTCACTGATAAATCTAAAAGCTGAATCATTTTATCCAGAAGTTCAGCTTCTCAACGTAGCTCAAGCTCACCTTGTTTTCAAAGGCTGATTTACAAATATGTAATTTATATTCACTTTACGAAAGGAAAATATGCAATCCCAATTGCCAAAACAGCTATGTCTCTTATCTAAGATGTCCTTCCTATTTGGCTCTCCTTTGCCTGAATCAAAGAGTATGTACACACTTTGACTTATGCTTGCATTACTTTTGGCAAAACACCACTTCCTCTAACCACATTACTCCTCTCAATAACCCTTAGACCATGTCTAAACCAATATTTAGGAAATCATCAGCCGAAAGCCTCAAAGGTCAGTGATATTTTGGCATTGTCTTCTATCATGTTCTCTGAAGGGAAATAAATTTCCAGATTAGAGAGGATAAAATTCTTGAGTGATTGGCCTGATAACATTAATATTGTATTCCCTTTTTCTGTTATTTCTTTTCATCCTGTCCAAAGTCAGTATGGAATTGCCTAAAGGACCCAGATGCTTCTTGTTTGGTTTGGATTTTGAGGCTTAGGACCTTACGTCATTGATAAAAGACAGTTGCTTTGACCTATTTCTCTGGCGCTTTTGATGTTGAATTTTCCAGACACTGATAAACAGAGAGTAATATATTTTTATTGCTTTGTTTACATGCCTGAAGTGGAGTCAAACTTTGTTGACCCAGTCATGTAGACAGTTGGAGTAGTGGAGGGGAAAAAACATGTTGGAATTGTTTATGAGAAACTCTTCCAAAATTTGTGCAAGGCTTGAAAAGGAATCATAAAAATGCTGATACAATACACCTTCTCCACAAACACCATGATTAATCCAAATTCCAATTTTTTCCCTTCTCAGCTAAAAAATGTTAATAAACTTAAATAGCTTCAAGTTTCAAACTACAAAATCATCCTTTCTTTACACCTCATTTCTTCTCATTTCCCTTTCCTAGATTATTTCATTCTTGTCTGAATAAACCTGTTGTTTATTTTTCCCTACATGGCTTTTCTATCTTCCTATAATACTGTCATTAGCATCAATTGAAGTTTAATGTCAGACACAGTTCATCTTGAGATTTCCTCATGCTGAAAAAAGTTATAAATTATTCCCACACTTTCGGGGCACCTGGGTGGCTCAGTCGGTTAAGCGTCTGCCTTCATTTCAAGTCATGATCCCAGGGTTTTGGGATCAAGCCCTGCTCCAGGTTCCCTGCTTGGTGGGGAGTCTGCTTCTCCCTCTCCCTCTGCAGCTCCCCCTGCTTATGCATGCTCTCTCTCTCTCTCCCCCCCTTTCTCTCTCTCTCAATATATAAAATCTTAAAAAAAAAATTGCTCCTATACTTTCTCCTATTAATCCCATTTCTAGTATCCTAAGTTCATTAGAAAAAAATAAACCACTTGCTTATTAAAATTTTATAAGTAGATCACATAATAGTATAGCATCATCAATGTAATAAATATGAAAATCATAAAGAAACAAAAAATCTTCATTTTTTACCAAGTGCTACCTTAGTTTAATGTTGAGTTAGGGTTGAGATTATGAATAGTTTTCCCCGACAATACCGTTATACTGTTTTTACAGTAGAAGGTTATTCAGTGAAAGAATTAGGGCAGCTCTCCAATATACTATATTTATGTAGAGTACAAGTCACAGAAAAAATAACCAATTTAATAGTTTTTGGGTTTTTTTTTATTCAAGGGTCCAGGATTTATAGCTGCAATGTGGGGTGTCTTCGTGTTTAAGGAAATACAGGTATGTACAAGAAAGCACAGATTTAGAAACCAGGTGTAGAGCTGGGTAAGAAAGGTATTTCATACTATGTTTGTGTCATTTTCTGAAAACTGTGTGTGACCTCTAAGCCCAGAGCAGAAAACACATGAATGGATGTGACAAACTCAGATGTTCAAAATGTTATCATCCCTAACAAGGAAAGAAAATACTAAAGATATGATAATTATTATGAAACATGTTTCTCTCCCCACCCCAGCCCCCAGTGGGAAAATGCTTTAGTTGACTTTCTTTTTTCCCTTAAGAGATTTTGGTTACATAATCCACTAAAATATGATAGAGGGAAATTTTATTTAATGTAAAATATAAACAAGATGAAAGATTTTTTTATCCTAAAGATTAAAATATCCCTGAGGCAAATGGAATTTGGGAATAGATTTTTCTGTCGGTTCTCATGCCTCCCAAAGGCCTCCATATCAAACCAGCAATTTTATAGGAAAATAGTATGGTAGCAGGTGACTACTACCACTTCCCTTTCAAGTGTAAATGATAGTGATTTAAAACTGCATTTATTAAATAGCTGTAGGATGTGTGTGTGTGTTTTCATTAAAAAAGTTGTTTTAGGGGCGCCTGGCTGGCTCAGTTGGTGGAGCGTGGGACTCTTGATCTCGGTGTTGTGAGTTCTAGGTTGGGTGTAGAGATTGCTTAAAAACAAAATATTTTTAAAACACTTTTTAATTGTTTTAGAATTTTTCCCATTTACCTTTATTTGAGGAATATATGTGAATAGTATTTTGTAATAGTTTTTACTAAAAATATACATAAATCAAAGACACTCTGTCAAGGTATCATAGATATATAATATTTGCTGTCTTCATATGCAGCTGCAGTAACAAATAATTCCTGGTTCTAAAAAGATCTGATGTTCCTAATCTCTGGCAACCAAAAAGCAACCTGTGTACCTGGATAATCCTTAAAATGATTATCCAATTTTAGATTTAAAATATCATTTTATTTATTCTAAGTGAAATGTTTTGATTTAGAAAGCCATAATTTGATAATACAGGATTCTCAAATTTAAAAAATAATAAATTTGTTTAGGAGATATGCACCAAGATCTTAATTTTTGTACTTTTTAAAATACCCAAGACAGCTGAAAACACTTATAGACCCATAAATTGCTTCCATACACATTTCTCATTTATTTTAGTCAGGGTTGCTTTCCACAAAAAATAATTCTATGTCAAAACATGCCATAATCTCTTTGCAAATATTTCATCTGCCTCCCAAAGGATAATGATTGCTATTTAAGAATTGGGTATTTATTATCCAGTATAACATCCTGAAGCCTTAGAAAATCACAAGTGAGCATAGCTTATTTGCAGTTATAGGTAAAAAGAAGCACAAATGAAGAATAGATTTAATGTAAAGGATCTGAAAATTATTTTAGTCACTACTACTTTAAATAATGATATGAACTTAAAAACTCTCTTCCCTAGTTATAAGAATTTGAGAGAGAGAACCCCTAGCCATTGAGCCTAGTGGTAATTCCTGAGTCCTCTAAAATGATACTAAAAGATAAACAAAGAAAGCTTTTTTTTAAAGACACCTTTAAAAAGATAGCTAAGATCAAATAGAGAAGAATTTTTTTTTTTAAATAAGCCATGACCAAGTAGGGCTTAATTCAGGAGTGCCAGGAAAGTTCATAATATGCAAATTAATCAGGGTAATATAATATTAGGTAAACAGAGAAAAACTATGCAATAATATATATTCAAAAGACATGTGCTGAAATTAAAAACCAGTTGTTTTTTTTTTATTTGAGAAAGAGAGCATAAGCAAGGGGGGAGGGTAGAGGCAGAGGGAGAAGCAGACTCCCCGCTGAGCAGGGAGACCGATGAGGGGCTCCATCCCAGGACCCTGGGATCATGACCTGAGCTGAAGGCAAATGCTTAACTGACTGAGCCACCCAGGTGCCCTAAAAACCAGTTTTTAATTAAGAGAAAACCTCTTAGAAGTGCTACAAATAGGAGAAAGTGATCTATCAAAAAACAATAGCAAACACATAGCTAAAGTGAAACTTAAAATTCTCTCAATTACACCTCAATAAAGCTGGAAAAAAAAAAAGGAGTTCTCTGTCAGTTGAAAGTCAGAGATTTCTCCATTACTGTTACTATTCAGTATTTTCTGGAGATCCTAGCCAGTGTGGTAAAATAAAATTAAGAAAGAGAAATAGATGTAGGAAAGAAAATGAGGAAACTGTCATCTGCATGTAACATTATCTTCTTTAAAAATCTAAGTGAGGGGCACCTGGGTGGCTCAGTCATTAAGCGTCAGCCTTCGGCTCAGGTCATGATCCCGGGGTTCTGGGATCAAGCCCCACATCGGGCTCCCTGCTCTGCGGGGAGCCTGCTTCTCCCTCTCCCACTCCCGCTGCTTGTGTTCCCTCTCTTGCTGTGTCTCTCTCTCTCTCTGTCCAAATAAATAAATAAAATCTTTAAAAAAAAATAAAAAAATCTGAGTGAATCAGCTGAAAATCTTGAGACCCAATAAGATCATTTGGTAAGGTGCCAAAATATAGGATAAATATAAAATCAATAGCTTTCTAATATGCCACCAATAACCAATTAAAAAGAGGAAAATAGGGTTACCTGTATGGCTCAGTCAGTTAAGCGTCTGGCTCTTGATTTCAGCTCAAGTCATGATCTCAGGGTCCTGGGATGGAGCTCTGCGTGGGGCTCTGCATTAGGTGGCGGGGATTCTGCACTCTGCTTGAGGATTCTCTGTCTCCCTCTCCCTCTGCTCCTTCCCTTGTTCATGCTCTCTCTCTCTCAAAAAAATAAATAAATCTTAAAAAAAAAAAGGAAAATAAATGCTGTTAAAAACTACAAAAATTATAAAATAAAAGAAAATAATCAACAAGGAATTGCTAGATTTATAAAATCATTCACTTTACCACAAAAGTTTACTATAGAACATAAGAAAATATCAGAACAAATGGGGAAGCTCACCACATTCCTGACGGAGCAACTCACCGTTGTTAGTAGGCAGTTGTTTTCCATTACATTCAGTGTGATTCCTACAAAATTCCAATGGAGTTCCATCTGAAATTTTGAGAATGAGTTCTGAAGTTTGGCCAAATATGTATGTAAAAATAAAGAGAGAGAAGACCAAGCTGGAAGCAAAGAATGACTTTTATTGGCCTTCTGGACTTAAAAAGAAACAATTTACAAATCTGTCTGGAAACAAAACTTAAGTATCCAGTGAGACTTATCATTCAGTGCAGGTGCCTAATTACCTCTTAACAGGTGGTTTAAAGGCAAGTTTTAAATGCTTCACATGCCAACTCGTTTAAGAGCTATCAACTAAACCCTGAAGCCAAAATCCTATTAGAAATTTTTTTAAGATTTTATTTATTTGAAAGAGAGTGAGAAGGGGGGCCACTAGCAGGGGGAGCGGCAGACAGAGGGAGAAGCAGGCTCCCCACCAAGCAGGGAGCCCGACGCCGCACTCGATCCGAGGACCCTGGGATCATGACCTGAGCCAAAGGCAGACACTTAACCAACTGAGCCACGCAGGCTCCCCCTGTCAGAATTTTTAAAAATTATTTTTCTTAGAAACAAGATAAGACCCTAGAGGAAAACAAAAGCAAAACACGTATCTTTATGACTTTTAGGTCCTATCAGTTACGTCTTAAAGCAGTATTTGAAGACACATATTTGAAAGTCTACAACCTACAGCAATAAGAATTTAATCTGAGATCCAAGCGCTTTTTGTGCTAAAGAGTTTAATGATTTCAGTTAGTCTTAATGCCATCCGGGCACCAGTTGGAGGCTTTTCACTTCCAATACTCTTTTATGTCTGGTACCTGTTCGTCTTTGGGAAGTTTGCTTTAGAATTTTACTTTTAGCTATTTTAAGCTAGATGTACATTGTTATCTTTAGAAACACACTTTAGACACAATGTCTACAGAAATACCAATGCAGGGAATTACAACCACAACAATTTGTAGGTCAGTAGCAACTCCCAGATAAAAAATAAGATGGTCTGTTATCTTAGTAGCTATTTCAAAGATCCGAGTTAAAAACTGTGTGCTTTGGGGAGAATGTTAGCATGATCTTTCTAAGCATTAATATTCACCTTTGACAAAGGGAAACTGTTGCTATTGCCCAAATATAATCGGTCTTTATCTTTAGGAGACTAGGCAGTTTGGACAGATTCTTAACCTCAAAGGGGAAAAATATTTCTCTCTGAGAACATCATTCTTCTGACTACATAGACAATAAAGGAGAGAGCTCAGCAAAGTAGTCACATAATTAGGTTGTATAAAGTGCTGATAATTGTCTTATTTAAGTCATTGTAGCAATTGTTTAATTCACAAAGGATATTTGGAAATCACCTGATTGTATTCATTCTTTGAGCAAGTATTTGAGTGCCTACTCTCCATCAATACTGGTATCTAGGTAAAGGTTGTAGTCTTTGAAACTGACAAGATGTCAGGGAACCTTAAAGCTTGGCAGGAGAGAGAGAGTGAGTGTGTGTTTGTGTGTGTGTGTATAAATAAGCTACTCTGTACTTGGCAAAGCTTTGTGGTGCTTTCATTTGTGGAACTTGTAATAGAGTGACTTCTGGTAGTATTGATCCTCACAGTGAATCAGAAAATTCAGTTGGCCCCAGCCCAACTTAAAAGACCTCTCTCTGGTCATCAAATAGAAGTCATTTAATCCATTTTTTCCCAATTCTTTATGAATTTGAAGAAAGAGGATATATGCTTTTTGGAATGTGGGCTATGTATTAATTAATGCCCACTATGTATGTGGGCATTAATCTTAATAAGAGATAAAAATAATATTACATGATTTGACTGTCAGGAGATCTCAGTGTTGTTTTAGAATTTATATCTAAAGTTAGGGAGGTACTGGTCCTGTTTTACTTTGTGATGTTCAAACCTTGCCTTAGAGCATCAGGACATATTTAAAGAGGGACATAGACAGTGTGGCAACCATTCAGATGTGAACAGCCAGGGAGCTTCAAAGTATTTCATATGAAACATGATCAAAGGAGCTAAAATACTGATCTGGAAAAAAAAAAAAAAGAACTTTAAGAACATAAGACAGTTACTTTTTAATGCTTGAGGGTTTATCTTGTGGAAGAGAGATTAGAATCGATCTATCTGTACCCCTGGAGATAGATAGAACTTACAGTAAATAGGGGCACCTGGGTGGCTCAGTCGGTTAAGTGTCTGCCTTCAGCTCAGGTCACAATCCCAGGGTCCTGGGCTCGAGCCCCACATCAGGCTCCCTGCTCGGCAGGGAGTCTGCTTCTCCCTCTCCTCGCTTGTGCTTTTTTTCTCGTTCTGTCTCTCTCAAATAAATAAATATTTTTTTAAAAAAGAACTTACAGTAAATAAAATATCTCTACTTAACACAGAAAGGTACTTCTTTGTTAGGGGCACCTGAGTAGCTTAGCCAGTTAGGCATCCAACTCTCAATTTTAGCTCAGGTCATGATCTCAGGGTCATGCGATGGAGCCTGGTGGTCGGTCAAGCTCTGCACTCAGAATCTTTTTGAGATTCTGTCTCTCCCTCTGCCCCTTCGTCCTCTCTAAAATAAATAATAAATCTTAAAAAAAAATAAGATATTTCTTTGTTAATCAAAGATGGACTGGCTACGTTGGGAAGTGGTTGTCAGTGTTTCCCGTCTTTAAGACCAGTGCACCTACCCATAGCTCGGCAAGACAAACTTAGTCTGTTTCTTCCTCACCCTTCAGATCCATCTCTGTCTCTCCATCTGCACCTCATCATCTGTGCCCAGGAAGGCTGTCGTTGCCTCCTTCATTATCTCCTTGCATTCATCTGGACCCCTCCAATCTGTTCACCATCTGCAAGAGAAGGGTGGGCTTTATGAAATGTGAATCCCATCTTTTCACCATATCTGGCTGCCTGTTTCTTTAATGTCTTCCCATTACTTGGAAAAATAAAACCCCAAAGTCTACATGGCCTATGAGATCCCCATAAGCTCGGGCCATAGCCCTCCAACCTGGTTTTGCTCCACTTAATTCGCAGAGCTGTGGTCACACTGACTTCTTTTCAATCCCTGGCAAGTATCACACTTCATCTTACAACAGAGCTTTGCACATAAAATGGCTTCTACCTGGAATCCATACTTGTTTCCCTGCCCGATTAATTGGTACTTACAGTTAGAAGCTTAATTCCTCACCGTCCAAACCAGCCTAAGATTCCTTTATAACACCCCTCAGAAACAATCATGGTCATTTTCTTATTAATACCCCTCTCACTTTTTAACATTCTTTTCTGTGATGATTAACTTCTATCTCCCATATTATATGATTATCTCAATAAGGGCACATTTTGCTTGCCATTTTAACCCCAGCGCATGCTGATGCAAAGTGGGTGCCCACATGTATTTACTAAGTGGGTGAATTAGGAAGGTTCTAATGGGTTTTCAAGAGAATCTGGTGATTACTTGGAGGGATAGCAAAAGGCACACAGGTGGCTGGAGCAGATGGTTAGTAAGGTCCCTAGCAATTTTGATATTCTGTGCTTTCTGCATATTTGATTCAGATTTTCTTAATTACACTTACCCTTTTTTATCATTCAGGGTCTACAAAACTACCTATTGATGATATTTGCCTTTTTCATCATCTTGAGTGGAGCCTTATGCACTGCTTTCTCTAAACTCTAACGATCACAAGACCAGCAGATGGCAGCAGTGGGTAAGAGAACCCTGCTACAGGACTCCGAGGGATCATGCTGAGGAGAGAGTTCATTTTCTTACAGCAAACGGATCTCAACCGGTCTTGGCCTGGGTAAATGATTTTTTTTTTTTTTTCACAAATGTGAGAATAAAGGAAAACTAAGTTTCGGTCAGGTATAAAAATGGAAAATTCTTCTAATGAACTATTTATGATGGTAGGACTTTACTGGGTGACTAAAATGTCCACCTTCTTACAGCATTACAGCTGAGTGCTCCTTTTACCACAATATGTACTCGGGGTTGCATAAGCAGCAAAACAGTGTGGAGTTCATATACACAAAATTCTTTGTGTATATGAAAGTTTCCAACATATTACCAAGTTTCCAACATATTACCCTCGTTAATGAAGAGAGGCAGAAAAATGTTGGGGAGAAGACCTTACCTTATAACGGAATTAGATTCCAAAGCTATCTAGATCCTTTGCCAGAAAAAGTAAACGTCAGAGTCAGTAACTGAATATGAAAAAGGTCATTTCATTTTTTGCCCAAACTTATTTTTACTTCAAATTAATATTGCTCAACTCTACGTCACCCCTTCAAAATGCTTTTGATCATCTCCAGATAAAATCCCACCTTCAGAGAACAAAAATTTCCAACCATTGAGAATATGTGTATAATACATATACAGACATATTCAGTTACACGTAAATACACACATATATGTCTGTATGATTCCAAACTTGGGGGAAATTCTAGAGTTGCTATAGTGAGGGTCTAGATTATTAGAGTAAGAATTTGCAGGGACCAAACACTTCTTTGTATGTAAAATTTATTTTTTTTTCTGAAATATACTTTTCTAAAATCCCTTTTTAAAACTGGAAGTTTTCTTCCACTTTTAACTGGTGGTTTTCATTAGGGAAAAAAAAACAATGGACATATTATTTTTATATATATATTCAAAAGAGACAGAATACCACTAACCCAAATGGGTTTCATCTTCATTGTATGACTTTGAAGAAGTTCCTGAGCCTCCTGTATCAGATTCCTCATCTATAAAATGGGCATAATGATAATGATAATATAATGTTATTGTAAGTTTCAAATTAATTAAAATCTGTAACATGCTCATGAGTATCTGGCACTTGGCAAACATTGTATAATTCTTAGCTATAATTGTTATTTACTGTTTGAGAAAGAAAATGTGTCTATAGATTGGAGAATGTTTTGTAAGAGCTACTGGCCTCACCACCAACCCATCTAAACAACAAATTATTATTCATTCCTGTATTTGAGTGCAATTTAAGTAATGATACTGTAGTCTCTATTTCATTATTGAATTCTTTGATTGTAACACCTTACCAAAACTCATTTTAATTTTAACCTGAAATATTATTAATTATGTTGATAACTTTAAATAAATTGACATGGGGCGCCTGGGTGGCTCAGTCCGTTAAGTGACTGCCTTCGGCTCAGGTCATGACCCTGGAGTCCCTGGATCGAGTCCTGCATCGGGCTCCCCGCTCAGCAAGGAGTCTGCTTCTCCCTCTGACCCTCCCCGCCCCACGTGCTCTCTCTCTCTCTCTCTCTCTCTCTCATTCTCTTTCTCAAATAAATAAAATCTTAAAAAAAAACATTGTTAAATAAATTGACATGACACAAAAGCTATTTTGCTAACTTATATTTTCAAATTTCATTTTGATAGCATTTAATTATTCTGTAGTTGAGAATGCCAATTTATATGCAAAATTTTAAATGTGAAGTAAGGCAATTGCAGAAGAAAAATGAAAAAAAAAATCTTATTACCACTATACAGTTTCTGCTACCACACAATGCTTTTAGTGTTCGTAAGAGGTAAGAATATTGTGGGAGGAAAAAAACAAGCTTTTCAAAATGGTTACCATGCAGAAAACTTACTATGTAGAGGTTAGTCTAAACAGGTGATTACCAAATCTCCACTTTCTTTGCTCAATTTAAGAAGTTAACACCTATCTCTCTAGAAGTTTTTTTGTTGTTTTTTAATGGGGATTTTTTTTATTATTATTATTCATTTGAGACACAGAGATACAGAGAAAGAGACAGCATGAGCAGGGGGAGAGGCAGAGGGAGAGGGAGAAACAGGCTCCCTGCTGAGCCAGGAGCCCGATGCAGGGCTCCATTCCAGGACCCTGGGATCATGACCTGAGCTGAAGGCAGACACTTAATCATCTGAGCCACCCAGGTGCCCCTCTCTAGAAGTTTTGAGGGTTTGTTTTTCCTTGTCTAGTATGGTCAAATTCTTGTGTTTTAACTTTTTCTTGCTTGGCTTTCTGTCTCTATTTATAGAGAAGGTACTACCTTAAGTAGGAAAGTGGTAGCCCAATGAGACTGGCATCCAGATTATGGGAATTGTTTATAATCAAAATAAAAATTCCTAATTTCTCAAAATTCCTAATGAGTTTTATGGAATTATTAAGTACAGCATTTCCACAGAGTTACCAAATCTCCATGTATTCCTCTTGTATTCATTTATTTGTACTTAGAATTGCTAACTACTAGACCTATATGTATCAATATTGGTGAGCTGAAGAACACATTGAGTTAAAAAGGCAAATTGTAGAACCATGCGCACAGTATGATACCATTTAGGTAAATTTTTAAGAATCAAAGTAATTTATATTTTTTCTATAAATACCTATATATGCAAAAAATTAGAAAAATACATATACAAAGCTCGTAATAATGTTTGCCTCTAGTAGGGATGAATGAGATAAGAACGGCAACACTGGGGTCAATGTAAACTTGAGCATTATCTGTAACTAATTTTTATAGCAATGAATTCATATATTTGTTCTTTAATATGTGTTAAAGAGTCAATAGCAAAAGAGCTCAGAACATGTGTCTAAATGTTAAAGTAATTAAGACTAGGGGCATCTGGGTGGCTCAGTCGTTAAGCATCTGCCTTCGGCTCAGGTCATGGTCCCAGGATCCTGGGATCGAGCCCTGCATCGGGCTCCCTGCTCTGCAGGAGGCCTGCTTCTCCCTCTCCCACTCCCCCTGCTTGTGTTCCCTCTCACTCTGTCAAATAAATAAATAAAATCTTAAAATAAATAAATAGTAAGTAAGACTAAGTAAGGAAAATATGGGTGTATTTTATTTTTCTCTTCATTTTTTTTAGTACTTTTTAATTTCAAAGCAAGCATGCACACACACATGCACACACAAATAAAAGAGATCAAGGCAAAGTTGAGAAATTTTCCAACTTAAAAGTTCCACCTTCTAAAGATAGAATCTAGAAACTCACTTTTCTAGCCTCCATTGCTGTAGGATGTGTCGTTCCTGATTATGTAGCCTCCAAATAGACAAAAGTAATCTAAAATGAGAGAAAACAAATTATGGTAGCCTGAGGCATGAGGGTTAACTGCAAAGAGTATAGGGAACTTTATGGGTTGCTGGAAGTGTTCTGTATCTAGGTTGTAGTGGTGATTACATGAGTGTATATATTTGCTCATAACACTGTCCACCTAAGTGGGAGAATTTTATTGGATGCAAATTATACCTCATTAAAGTTGATTAAAAGTTGATTAAAATAGGCTATATTTGTGTGTGTGTGTATTTTAATGAGGGCAAATTTCTTTTTTTTTTCACTGTTTAAGGAATTTTTATTAAAGCAAGAATTTTATAATCCAAATTACGTTTCCTTACGCAGTTATCAATTCTGTTATTTAAAACAGGAATGACATTCTGAGCTATTCCACAGTAAAGAATTACAAAATTAAAGAAAGGAATGCTTTAAATTTTTGTACTTTGCTTAAAAATTCTTTTTCCCAGGGTCTATAAAACATTAATTTGTTTTTATATTTTACTATTTTTTTGTGGGGGTTTTTTGTTGTTTTTAAATCAATAAGTAATCTAGGACTAGCATTCTGTTTGCTAGACCTGGCATTTGCTTGGTACATAAGGTTCAAAGTTTCCTTTCCTTTATTTATTTATTTTATATTTTGTAATTTTTTTTCCATAATATTTAAGTTTTTCGATGTTTAGATATTTTTCCTCGGTGAAGCACGAGTTTCTTTTCATGGTCTTGATCAATTTTAAACAGTTGGAACACCAGTGGCACTGTTTACTGCTTCCTGGGCAGCCTCTTTAGCTTGGTGGGCTTGTAGAATGGCTACAGCTTCATCAACTTTAGAACGGAGACTCTGGAGACTCCAGCATATGAAGAAGTTCTGGATTATCAGTCTCCAACAACATGCCAGTGATTTTACCACCAAGAGTAGGGTGCATGGCTTGAATTAGAGGAAAGAGCCATTCACGGTGAATGAGGCCAAATTTCTGAAACAAGGGTTTTAAGGTAGCTCACAGAATATCCAGTAGGACCATGGAATTGACCTTGGAGGCTACATAATCAGGAATGACACATCCTACTTTAAGAAAGGATGCTATATTTTGTGAAATTTTTTTTTTGCATCTTTTGAGATGATCATGTTTTTCTTTTTACCCTGTCAATATGGCAAATTACACTGATTACTTTTCAAATGTTAAACCAATTTTGCATTCCGCTAGTAAACACTACTTGGTTATGATGTGTTTTAGCCTTTCTCTATATTGTTGGATTTAATTTGCTTCTGTGTTCGTGATGGATATTGGTCTGTAATATCAGGGTAGTGTCTTTAAAATGTTTGCTAAGAATTAATACTATTCTTCCTTAAATCGTTGGTAGAATTCAAAAGTAAAGCTATCTAGGCCTCATTTTCTTTAACATATATAGGTTGATTCAAGTCATCTATTTCTTCTTGAGTGAATTTTCTTAGTTTTTGTCTTTCAAGGAATTTACTCATTTCATGTACATTGAGACATTATTAGCATATTATTTATAATATTTCTTCATTCTCCTTTTCATATCTATAGGATCTATAGTGATATCCACTTTCTCATTCCTGATATTGGTAATTTGTTCTCTTTTTATGAACATTCTAGCTAAAAGTTTATCAATTTTATTCCATCTATTCA